TACGTATGTGTATGCGTGCTCATATCCCTACGTGTTTATATTATGTATGTGCATCTGTGTATGTATGTATATGTATACGTCCAAAAGTAAATCTGTAGACATCTATGTGTGCATATACCTGTATATATATATATATATATATATATATATATATATATATATATATATATTTGCGTATGTGTTTACCTGTTTATGTGTATCTATAGTTATGGTGATTTTCTAAGCGTAGCTTAGATGTGGCACAGATTTGATGTATCTATAATTATGTGTGTCTAGGTATAGGTATATGCATTCATGTGTAGGCTGGTGTGCATGCATAGGCATGTGTGTATATATATATTGCTATTTGTGTATGTGTTTATGTGCATAGAATATGTCTGTGTGTATTTTTGTGTAAGTGGCGTTTTCATTTCAAGACCGTCGTTTTGAAAACGCCAAACGAGAGAAAATAAAAAAAAAAGGGAAAAATGCGATTTGGGAGACACAGAGAGACTCTGACGTCAGGCTCGAGTTGGTGACGTCATATGACGAATTCCATGACGTCACGCGACTAGCGTTCGTTCTTATCAAATCAAAATTATACGTTAAGGGTTTTAATTAACATCTCTCAAATATGAAACAACAATGTTCTGAGATTGCCAAAATAAATTTTCGATTCTTACTTACTCCTGACGAATGTTTTTTTGAAATAATTTCGATCTTCCTGTTTCCTTCTTCTTCTTCTGAATATAAAATCTCTCTCTAACTTTTTGATACTCATGAGGTTTATTCAAAAGCTTTTCGACAAAACTGTCAATCAAGTTTTTTGACTTTTCAAATTTGGTTCTTCAATTATATTTTCATATATATATATATATATATATATATATATATATATATATATATATATATATATATATATAATGAGTGTGTTGCTGATACTGCCTCTTCTTTTGGTATATAAGTTGCTGTTGATAGAGCATTTTGTCGCAATCCAGTTTTCATTATAATATCTCTATTAAAGCAAAATTGGGTGAGTGCCTCGTTGGAGACAGTGCGATGTTTTAGCCTTCTTGTTCATACTTCAAATGTGCGGGTGGTGTAATGGATAGCGGTTTGGAATGAACAATCTGAGATCCGAGTTCGAATTCCAGTTGGGTTCGTTACATTCACTTGGGAAATTATGAATTCATCTTTTTCTCTCCAAGCTATGAGTTAAATGGCACGACTTTTGTCTGGAAAAAAATCACTGTTATTTAAAAAAAAAAAAATTGTTAATCCAATATTCAGTCACAAAAAAAATAAAAAATTCTGACAATCCAAAACATGTCTCGGCTTTAAATAACCCACAAAGGGTTGAAAAACCGTAAAAAACAAATTCATCAATCGTACTTCATAGTATTTAGACACAAAGCAATATGCCCATATTAATTGTTTGGTCAAGTATGCGTATCTTCAAACCTATAAATTATACACGTGGAATCGTAATGTTTATTCAGAGCCGCCTCAACCCGATTTTCTCTTTGTCTTTTAGGTTAAAGCCTTTTGGTGAAGCCATTGTCTATAGGTTTTGTCCAGTTCAGATTTAATAAAAAAAAAAATGCAGTAAACTGTCCTTCAAAATATTAATGACAATATATTTTTTGTCACCCTCCAAAAGATTGAGGTTGTGTTTTTTCTCTTAAAGATCATAAGTTTTTCAGCAATATTTTCGATATGAGTTCATCTTTGTTTTAAAAAAAATCATTAAAAAAAGAAATAATAATAATAATAATAGTAATAAAAAAAAACAGAAAAAAACAAAAAACAAAATAGTTGTATAAATACCAGATAACAGTCTTCCAGCACCGGCAAACAATATGTTCAGAACACAGAACCAGAAATAGCCAGGTTTGAAGAAGAAAATGAAAACAGAGAAACAGACAATAGAAATGAGGGAGAAGGAGTAAGAGAAAAATAAAACGTGATAAAAAACTAACATAAGCTACACATTCATTAGTATATTATTTTCACATTGACACGTTAATAAATACCCTGGGTCAAACCAAAAATTGGCAATGGGGGCGCGTAAATACCCCATAGCCCTCGCAAGATACGACTGTATTTTTTATACCAGTAAGTCTATCTGGTTAAATGCCGTTGTGTCCCAAACAATTTTATTTCAAGAAATGTGTTCCATTTCAACTACGAAGGAGAAAGTTGGTTGCGATTTTAAAGGGAAACTTTGTCTTGGTTGCGTAAGTAATTTTTTTCTTCTTTGTTCGCCGTATCCTTTCAGGACGTTGGCGATCATGGCTCTCCACAATATCTTGTCTTTTTTTTCTTATCTCTCCTGAACCTTGTTCCGCCATCCATTTACTCAAACTCGTAAGGTAGATCATACATTGTTTTCCTCTGATCTTCCTGCCGTTAATCTGTCCTGTGAGTATCAAATTTTTCGAGCCCTTTCTCCTCATTATGTGCCCTAGAAATTTCAACAGTCTCTTCCTGGTGTTACCGAGTAACTTGCACCCCATTGAAATTAACTTGGGTTAGCCGTTTTAAGCATGATGCGCTTAAATGATTACAGAAAACTCGCGGGAGATAATTTTTTAGCGTAAAATGGTCAATGAGAATACTGACTCTTAAAAATCATGAGCTAAGTTTTGTTATCTCGTGGAGATATTTTTCTTAATAGAAGCTGTTCGTTTCTATTTTAATTTACATCATTTTGTTTATTTTTTTTTTAAATGTAATTTTTCGTTTCGTTCCAGAATCGTCCACATGAGAAATTTTTAAACTGTTTCATGTTGTATCTAAATTTGTGTTTAAGTTTCAAAGCCGTTTGTCGTTGACTTCCAATAACTCATTTTGACTTTCCTGTTCAACAGTTTTGATTTAAAGCAAAATCTTTTTAAACTTTTGATCCATTCTTTTGAGCCGTATTATTTTCACTTGATCAATTTTCAGAGGCGTTACTCTAAAATGTGACAACTATTCTTTTTCTTTTTATTTTTTTTGGTTGGGAAATTATTTAGAGCTTCTTTCGCTGCCATCATCTTGTGCTTTCATTTTCTTTCTTTTCTTTTTGGAGCTAAGGTGAGCTGTCACCACACGACTCGAAATGATCCTACCTAACTTTATTTTGATGTGCGACCCTCACGTTTACAGTTCTACCCGAAATTCCAGGATCATCTCAAATCGAATTTTTGTTCTGGTCTGAATTGTATTCCGTCCTTGAATCATTTGAGCTGAGATCGGGTGATGTGAACGAATTTCTCTTACATGTTGTTACATGCAGTTTCAACTTGACCCTCACAAAAGTTGACACTTGAATCCGCATTAATTGATTTATTCTGCTTTTGGTTTTATTTCCATTTTGATTCGAACTAAGCCAAACTCTTTCGCACCGCTTGAAGTTGAATCCTGTTTATATGAAAAATGTTGAATTCATAACAAAAAAATCGCTTAGGATTTGAATTGACTTGAACTTACTGGCTTTGTATAATGGTTTCATACTAAAAGAATTGATCTCGCAGAATAGTCTTTGAAGGGTTAAACTGCCTTAGAATTAGGCAAAGCATAAAAAAAAACTTGAAAGCGTGTGTATCAGACGGAAGAAACGTTTTTGATAAAAGTTTACTCTGTTCTCTGTAGACTTCATATGGCTTTATTCGTGTAAAAAAAGATGTGTTTTTAATTAATTTTACTTGAGCTGATTTGATCCTGTGTTATGTAAACTTAACCAACCAAAATTTATAATGAAGGTCAGAATTTGAGCTGCATTTTCTGAGCTGTACATATATTCTGTCATTTGAACTGAGTTTGCGCTAATCTCAAGCAATTTGAACTGTACCGATCTCTACCGATCTGAGCTTATTGGAACGAAAAATGCGCCATTATCAACTGGTTTGAATGGATAGCCAACAATGTGAAGTTTATTTAAAACTAGAATCGCGGTGTTTGAGCTGATTGATCATCACCTCATGATTTTAAGAGACCAATACAGTTCTAGTAAGGAAACCTCCGGGAAAATAAAGGAAAGAACTTTCAAATATTTCCGGTTTCTTTTCTTAAATCAATACATTTGAGTTCATTTGGATTCACTTATCGATCTGGAAGTTCTGCCTACGTCTATACGACAGTCAATTGTCTTTGGACCGCTTGCGTTTCATGCCATGGAATTTATTTTTTGGTAAATATATCTGCTTGGAGCAGAGGCCGAATAACGCCGAATATAAGAGACGAAGGACCTTAGATATTTGTGTCCATTACTTTATAAAGTGTTTGGTCTCTCATAGCTGAGGCGCAAGCATGTGTTCCATCGATTAGTTTTTTTTTTTACCTTTTTTTTTTTTTAACCATACAATAAAATATACTTCTATTTATGTTATTTTATTCAAGGTTCCAAATGTTACTCGTTGACGCTTACACCACTGGGAAATCTTGTTCACTGTTAAAAATGAGGAACACAACATTTTTGGCTCTACAAACTGGTGATGGACGTTAGCAGCGATTATCATCAGGACCTGGATAATAGCAGACAATGAGTTGTTGGTAAAACGTTGTCGTTACATGAAGTTGAGATCATCGATTTGAGCCCGGTTTCTGAACTGGTTTTTTTGCAACTGTTAGGATCTCGCTGGATTTCGTAGCTCTAGATGAGAGGACATTTTTCTTTTCAGAAGAGAGAAACAATCATACGTTTATTTATATATATATATTTTTAAAATATTTTTGGCGTCGATCTGTAGAGGTGGAAGAGAAAGGAGCGAGTTTAAATTTTGTTTTTTTTATCTCCACCTTTGCTTATGATTATTATTATTATTATCGTTAATATTATTGTTATTATTATCATTATTATTATTATTATTATTATTGTATATGCTGAATTGTATATCTTGTTATCTATTAAGGTCTGTGCCTTGAGTGTTTTGAATTCCCGACTTGATCCCCGTCTTCCTCTTCGGCCTCTACAATTTCGTCCAGCGAGTTGTCGTCAATGACATTTTCATTAGTCGTCATAGGGTTATTAATAAGATTCAGGGCTGCTGATGGGTCTGTGTTCTGAAGCGACATATTGTCGACATCGGTAGCAAAGTGATCGAGTGGTGGCGTCGGGTCTCGCCCAGCGAACGGACTGGACAAGGGCCGCCATATTGATGGTCATTTACTGACCGGTTCGTCGTTTTCCAAATCAATGAAACTGTGTTGCGTCTGATGATGTGGCTGCGGCTGAAGCGGGCGGCTACGCAGGGGCGGCTCCGGGGACACATGCGGGTGGTGCGAGTGGGAGTGATGATGGTGGTGGTGGTGGTGATGGGGATGGTGCCCCTGGTGGTGATGGTGATGATGATGGTGTGGGTGGTGATGAGACCCGCTTTCCGTCTTGCTGCTGCTGCTGCCACTGCTGGTGGGGGACTCGAACCGACTCTCGTACACATCGCTGTCATTTCCCTCGTCAGCATCGGTTGGAGGTCTTGAACTGGGACCGGAACCGGAACCGGAAGTCGACCCGGAACCGGATGGCTGCCGGCTGTCCGTGTAACATTCTCCACTTTCGGCGCTGCTGCTGCTGCTGCTACTGCTTCCACCTGCGTTTCCTGAGCTGCTACTACTGAGAAGACCACCGCTACCACCACCTGCACCACTGCCACTGCTGGGGCCGCCCGTGCCGTTGCTGTTGACCCGGTCTTTGTCCTGGATATCTCTCTTGAGCCTAGCACTGTGTTCCTGTGCCTTTGCCCGTAGTACGGCGATACTTTCCGATCTTAACTCTTCTTTGTCTTTGGTCGGTTGGCTGCTCGGGTTATTTCCATCGGTTTTATTATCATCGCTCGCTTCCTCTACCTCTTTCAGTTTTTCGGCCGCCTCCAGAGATTTCTTGTGCATACCTGAATATAAAGAAGAAAAAAAAAATGGCGTCGAATAAAACTCAAAGAATTTCTAAAGTTCATGGGGAGACGTCAGTCTCTAAAATTCAAACGAATTTAATTAACATATTATTTCTTTCTTTCAACAACATTTTTCTTCTTTTACCCCTTATTCGCTTTCTTTCTTTCTTTCTTTCTTTCTTTCTTTCTTTCTTTCTTTCTTTCTTTCACAACTAACGTCCTGTTTTCTTTCTTTCTTTCTTTCTTTCTTTCTTTCTTTCTTTCTTTCTTTCTTTCTTCTAACTAAATAACCCTCCTTCCTTTTTTTTTTAACTTTACCTTCATTTTTTTTTTTTTTTCATTTCCGGCTTACGGCCGTATCACGTTGAAACACAGTTTCCCCTACGATCACCGAAATTAAGCAACGTCGAGCCTGGCCAGTATCCAAAATTTCAGCTTATTTCTTTCTTCTGTTATATCTCAATCTTTCTTTCTTTCTTTCTTTCTTTCTTTCTTTCTTTCTTTCTTTCTTTCTTTTACTACCATTTTCTCTTCCTCTTCCTCCTAAATTGTTTTCTCCTTCTCTTTTTTTCGTCCTAGCCTCTATCCTTTTCTTCTTGACTAAACTTTCTTAATTTCATCCTATTTCTTTCTTTGCATATACCCAACTGTTCCTTCCATCCTTTCTTTCTTTCTTTCTTTCTTTCTTTCTTTCTTTTTCCTAACTAAATAACCCTCCTTTCTTTTTTACTTCACCTTTTTCTTTTTACTTTTCGGGCTTACGGCCGTATCACGTTGAAACACCAGTTCCCGTACGATCACCGAAGTTAAGCAACGTCGAGTTTGGCCAGTACTTTGTAAGAATTCTTTTGGCGAAATAATGATTTACTGATACAAGTTCTTTCAGTTATGCTGTAGGGTGGGAAAGAAAAGGTGCATTCATTTCTTTCCCAAGAGGTATTTACGCGTAACGACTTGAATTGGAACCCGTCTCTCCGATTTCCAATTCCAAACCGTTAGCCATTACACCAGCCGCACATCCAGTTTTACAGCACCAGGTAGAAATTACAGAAAACAACAGACAAAGGCAGAAAGCAGGCCAAATTCAACTGAAATGACCAGGTGAATATTCAATCTAAGAATCGGCCATGTTAGCCACCAGACATAGACACAAGAATAGAGTAAGATTGTGTAGCGTCCGCGGCTGAAATTCGAGGAAAGGAAGAATTGCCGACGATAAAACTTTGATTCATAAAGTTGGGCTTGTGTCGACTGATCTTGTTTTAAAGTTTATTAGAAAGACCTGCGAACATTTCACGGTTTTCATATTTGAATTTTCTGATGAATCCTAATTCTTAAGTTAATGAACGATGGAAATTCCCCTATTGCGTCATTAAATACTTGAGCTTAACAATTTGAACGAAATATTGCAGTATCAATCGTAACTATGAATGCAGGTCAGTATTTAATTAAGTACCGTATTTGACGGCATATAAGGCTCAATTTTTTTTTTTTAAATATCTTTTAAAATTCCCCCGCGTCTTATATGCCATATGTAGGTTTAAAATTCGCGATAGTCGACCGAAATTAGCTATCTGGCAACTCTTATGAGTTTAGACTTAAACATGAAGGAACAATGGAACACGTAGATGGCAATGCCTGATCTCGACCTTTAGACTTACAGGAAGAATAAAAAGACTCAACATTGCACAAGTCTGCGAATGAGTGAAGCAAGCTTGGGATAATATCAGACCAGAAATTGTTGTGAAATCTTTTAAAAGGTGTGGCATTAGAAAAACTCTCAATGGAACGGAAGATGGCGCATTATTTAACGACGATGAAAGTAGTATTGAAAATAAGTATCAGAGTTTTGATAACGAAGACGACGAATTTTATGGATTTGAAGATGAATAAAATTTTAATGGTAACTCTACTGTTTTGCTCAATTGCTCAATTTTTATTTTGCTTTCTTACCTTTGAATATAATAAAGTTGTTATAGGCTCGTGTTCTTCTTTTCCTATTATTTTTCGTTTAATTGTAATCATGGCTTGTTTAACCCAAATAACATCTCATAAATATAGCCTAGGCTGTATCATTTACTAATAATTTTACTAATTTTACTAATTACTAATTCTTGATTTTTCCTTGCTTAAATTGGAGTGCGTCTTATACACCCATGCGTCTTATATGCCGTCAAATAAGGTAAATAGGTACAAATGAAAAAATTAAAAACTGGCAAGTTTTTCTATTTCACTGAAGCAAACGTTAAACACATCGACATTTTTTTTTTTTTTACTTAAAACTATTGGTTTAGTAACGACTTTCTTCCTTTTATATTTATCTTTCAAATATTTTTAGCAACAACAACAATAAAAAATGTTCTTGTTTATTTATTGATAACTTTATACGTTTGGAGTTTACTCTTTTCTAATTTATTGATTTGTTTCTATTATTGACATTAAAGAAATAATAAATCAAAATGATACATTTGATATCGAACTGTTCACCCCGACAATCAGTCTAAAACATATATGGACATTCCTTGTCACGGCAGAGGGCATGCGTGTCCCAGTGATCCCAAGAGCGAGGCCATCAGGAGATTCAACTCCTGTAGGGCCACCCATAGCGTTAAAGAGGAGAGACTAGACTGAATGCTACCGACCCCCGAAGACCCCAATGGCGAAATAGGCAAAAACCAACACAATTTCAATGGCCAAACCGGTGGAAAAGGGCTGCGCTAGTGGGGCTGTAGTAACCAAGGCGGACCTTGACAGACTAAGCATCCGACAACCCAATGCAACCAGATTTGCCAGATCTCGTCTCTCTCAAGAGTCGCGAGGGAGGGGCTTCTAGCCAAGTGTGTGGGCTTCTCCGTTGCGCAAAGTTGTCAGGATTAGGTTGGTTCTTTTCAGCCATCTCCGCCACAGCCGCCAGAAAGGTAATAAAGAGAGAGAGAGAGAGAGAGAGAGAGAGAGAGAGAGAGGAGGGAGGGGGGGGTGACGATCTCGATGTTTGGATGCGAGCAGGTGCCGACGACTAAACACGTCAGAACATTATCGCCTCTTCTCTCTCTCAATCATTATTTATTTCTTTTTCTGATTGAAACCAGTGTCTCTGATATGTCTTTTCCATTTTTCCTCACAATCAAAACGGAATAGTCCATTATTTATAATTTATTGGCAAGGCGTAACGTATATGCTAAACTAAATAAGAAACAAAGGACTGAATAAAATTTAGAATATTATGGCTCGAAACAGTTATTTTATTTACTTCAAAGCTGACAAATAAATTGCGGTGGTCGGTGAAGTTCCAAAACGTATGAAGCCAAAAAGTGAAAAAAAAGGTATCAAGAGACTTTGAATAGACGTGTATGAATAGAGACAAAAATTAATACCTAGCCTCCAGGAGAGTGACTTTTTGCGCCTTCTCAGGTTAACTTACTCAGCTGATATGAAGTGGAAAGACTATATTGAATCCATTGCTAAGTTTACTGCTAAGATAATTGGTTTACTGTGTCGTGCTGCACAAATTTTCCTCTCCAGAATCTATCTTACACATCTATAAGTCTACCATTCGCCCGTGCTTAGAATATTGCTGCCACATTTGGTTCGGTGCTCCTGCTATTTATTTAGAGATTCTTGATAAAATCCAAAGAAGAATCAGCAATATTATTGGTCCTGACCTGGTATCTCGGCTACAGTCACGTTCCCACCGCCATAATGTTGCTTTTCCGTGCCATTTTCTATAAATGCTTTCATGGTAATTGAACTTTCTTCATTGGTGTCTGGATTTTATGAACTTAAGCGCAGTTTCATCCATGTATAGTTGAATTGGCGAGATGTAACCGTAAGTTCTATGCTAACAGTTTCTTTTCTTGCACTTCTCTTCCGTCTCCATGCTTTTCGGCCAACTTTGATCTTCAAAAAATTTGAATGCAATGTCAATCGCTATCTACTGCCTTTTTGACTATTTTTCTGTTCTTTCCACTGCTTCATAACGTTTGCATTTTTTTCTAATTCTTTCACACCCAGAATTTGTGTTTTAGTGGCTTTACTGTCTTGCTTGGAGTGAATTTGATTAAAAAACGAAAAAAAAAAAGAAAAAAAAAGACAAACAAATAATATGCGTATTAATTTCGTTCTCAATGTTAATTATTCGTATTTTGGAATTACAAATGAAAATATGGCAGATGACCATAATGCTCCCTCCACAGTTTCCACCGGCAAATCTTTGAGCTTTCGGTCTACTTACTCAGTAGCCAAGGAGCACACGATTCCATGATACCATCCTTGGCACTTTTCAGAATACTCTCCGGTAGGGGGAGTGAGTGTCTAACCATGGCTCCGTACAGTCCATACTCCGCCATTATGCTGCTTCTGCCCCAAGTTTTTTCAGTCTTTCTCCACTTAGCTCGACGGTTCTGAAACCAGACCTGAAAAAAAGACAAGCAAATAATAATAATAATGATACTACTACTAATAATAATGATAATAATGATAATAATAATAATAATAATAATAATAATAATAATAATGATAATAATAATAATAATGATAATAATGATGATAATAACAATAATAATAATAATAATAATGATAATAATCTACATCTTTTTCTCCCACCTATGGGTTAATTAGTACGACTTATATCACTAAACCATTATTATCTAAAAAAAATATTCTTACTATCTAAGAGTATTTTCTGGTTTTGAATAACCTGCAGGAGGTTGATAAGACGTAAAAAATGAATCAATCAAACTTTAAGCAATTTCATGATATATGAATGGCATAAAAGTGCACCTCAAAGCGGTTGAATGGTTAGCAAGCTTGTCACGCTAGAAAAATTACGATTGAGCAGTGAGTTTGATCGTCACTCTTCGCCCCATACTTTTGGACTTGTGCCACATCTAAGCTGCACTTCGAAAATCGCCATATGAAACTGGATTTATACATTTATTTAAAAAGGCTGTGTATATCGACTTGGTGCAATGGTTAGCAAACTTGTCTCGCAAGAAAAATTAAAACTGAGTAGTGAGTTCTATCCTCACTTTCGGCCTTGGGCCACATCTAAGCTGCACTTAAAAAATCATCGTATGGATAGCATAAAATTATTTATCCAGAATAAAACACAGCTCGAAACATAAAATTAAAAAAAAAAACCTTAGCAACAATATCGGGATGGAATTGGGGTACTACTTAAATAGACTGGTCCTCTTGTCCAGAGAAGAAGAAATGTTTTTTCGGGGAATATTTTTTTTTTTAGACTAGCACATGTTCAATCGTCCCTAAACCACGGCATTTGTCAGAATTGATAAAAAAAATGTCGATTTCGACGTGGGTTCCTGTTCATAATATTGCTATAGTGATTTCTTCCAGATTTATTGTTCAGTGGGAGGGGAATTTATTATTCCAATGTTCCCAGTCAAGTTGCATGTATGTGTGCGTGTTCGTGTATACATTAAATGCTAGAAGTACATGTATGTCGCTCACACACGACACGGCCATAAAAGTGTGTTCATTTTTTTAAAAAATCATTTCATCTCAAGCAAGGCGGTATTGTCACAAAGACACAATGGGTTACTAGGAGTGAAAGTGAATGAGAAAACTTTAAAAAGAACAGGAAACGCAGTCCTAAACAGGAAACAAGGAATTGAGGAAAAAATTAGTAAATAAAGTATCAGCGTTTATTCGGAGACGTTAGAAATATAGAGTTGAAGTAGACTTTAGAAGGAACCGGAAATTCAGTCCTAAACAGGAAGCAAAGGATAAAACTCTACTTCTGTTCAAAATATCTGAGTGAAGTTTGAACCGGACGATAGATGAACCTATCTACTCCTATTAATATAAATACAGATAGACAGATACAACGTCGCAGGCAGAGACTGTCTGCCGGGCAGAGAATAAGATCGAAATTAAAATATAGGGTTGATAAATAAAGACACTATTTTTTCAATAAAACTTAAAATAACATTATTTCAAGTTAATTACGAAGGTAAATCAAATCTGAAAAGGTCGTGTTTTTGAGTTTGTCCGAAATGAAGACTTTCTATTTAAATTTCTTTTAGAGCAGGGCCAATTAATGAAACAGAATTGAACGCACCCGGCCAGTTCGCCCAGATTGAGATTCTTGCAAAGATTGAACGGCTAATCAGTTGATGTCCTGCATTGCAGTCGGAATGGGGGAGAAGAAGGGCGTTTCCTTAACGTGCAAACAACTCCTGTTTCTGTGCGGTAAAGCTAATCCAACGAGATACGGATAAAAGATTTTCTTTTGTCAACATGGCAACAATAAAACGTTTTATCCTCTTTTTAAACTGGTTCTTTTCCTAATTAATTTCTGAGCAGGAGTCCTTGTCTCAGCCTGGTCACGTTCTATCTATCTATCTATCTATCTATCTATCTATCTATCTATCTATCTATCTATCTATCTATCTATCGCATGGTTAGATTAATAGATAGACAGATACAAACACACTGTACACATCTTAATCGTATCTATCTATCTATCTATCTATCTATCTATCTATCTATCTATCTATCTATCTATCGCATGGTTAGATTAATAGATAGACAGATACAAACACACTGTACACATCTTAATCGTATCTATCTATCTATCTATCTATCTATCTATCTATCTATCTATCTATCTCAGTTTGTTCACGTGTATCAAGGAAACCGTCCAGAAGAGTTGCAGGAGATTCCGAAGTCGTCTGGCGGCCGTGGTTGAAACCAATGGCGATTTTATTGAATAGATTTACTATTTAGTATTTCAAGATATTTTTATGTAATTTTGGTAAATATGTCTATTAATATGAGGTTTCAGTGTTATTTTCATTTTTGCGTAATTTAGACGGTAATTTATCCATCGCATCGTGTACATAGATTTAAATAAACTGAGATAGATAGCTTGATAGATATGAACAGACTGAGACAGATAGATAGATAGATATGTAATAACTATGATAGATCGGTATGAATAGACTGATACAGATAGATATGAAAAGTCAGGTAGATATATACATACAAAAAACAAAGGTATTTAGATATAGATAGATATGAATAGACTGTGGTACACATGAATAGACTGATATATATATATATATATATATATATATATATATAAAGACATTTTTTATGTTTCTACGTTCTTTTTATTGATACAAATATTTAAGTAAATGCTCTGTTTATAATAAACAGTATTAACGACTTTGTCCATTACATAATATATATATATATATATATAAAAGTGAACATAGAAGTCAACACTTAGAGGCGACAGTCTGTTTCATGCTAGATGTAATTGTCAGGCCACGAGTGCTGTTATTTTGCTCGGCTATTTATATATAAATAGCCGAGAAAAATGTAAGTGTTGACTTCTATGCTCATTTTTATATTTACACACGCTCTATCTTTGATATTCCATAAGTATATCACATCTTAACACTATATTTCTTCATATATATATATATATATATATATATATATATATATATATATATATATACACACACACACATATATATATATATATATTATAAATTAATTGATTTAAAATATGGTTATTTTCGCTACACAGTTCCAACCATGTTTCAAAAATAGAAGCTAAAACCCCTAATTTTGTAAAAAATAAAATATCTATAAGAACACCGGATTTTATATCTTTACTCTTTCTTTTATATATATATATATATATATATATATATATATATATATATATATATATATATATATAAATAGATAAATAGATATGAAAAGACTACGATAGATAGATAAATAGATAGATATTTAAAGATATTTAAATAGATAGAAAAACGAAACATATTTAGCTAGATAGAAAGAAAGAGAAAGATAAGAACAGATTATAATCGATACCAACATGAATCGCATGCGACGGACAGACAGACTGAAAGAAAGAAAGAAAGAAAGAAGGAAGGAAGGAAGGAAAGAAAGAAAGAAAGAAAGAATGAAAGATATTTTAATAAGTATAAAGTGTCAGAGATAGTTTTATCCCTTTTTCAAAATGTCTATTTTTTCTCTTCTTTTATAACCTTTTACGTTTCTATTGATTTACTTCCATGAGCCGCTCTAATCAACCCTCTATAACATATGCACAGAAACAATGACATTCGCAATTATGATGCACACACACACACACACACACACACACACACACACACACACACACATTCCAACGACCATCATCTTTCCAATGAAATATCTTTAACTGCCTAATTTCTTTGTAATGCAACTTTCTCTGTCTTGTTAACCTTTTTCCCCTTTGGCATTTGATGGTCAAGAATGAACAGCAGGAAGAGAGTAGGTCAAGAAAAGGCATCATTACATCGCTTGGCTAGACATGGCCGAAAACCACTCATGTGATATCGGACCGGAAACAGATCATATCATGACGTGTCCATGACGAAAGCATTTCCGGCCTGCAAGCGATGTTTGTTAAAATGGCGCTAGAGTTCATCCATGACTGTTGCTTTTGAGAGAGATTGAGATTAAAAAAAAAAAATCAATTCACCCCGAACAATACGATAACGCTACTAAGACAAAATGGGAGTAAAAGAATAAAAAAACAAAAAAAAACAAACAAAAACAAAAAAAAAAAAAAGCAAAAAACAGAGACCTGATTCTAAACAGGGAACAAAGGGAACAACCTCTACTCCTGTTCAAAGATCCAGTATAAACTGGGCGACAGGCGAACTTATCTACGCCAAGTGAGTAGAGAGAACAAAAAACAAAAATTAGTAAATAAAATTTCTGAGTTCAGTTGAAGATGTTAGAAGTACAGAGTTGAAGTAGTCTTTAGAAGGAACCGGAAACCCGATACTAAACAGGAAACAAGGGATGAACCTCTACTCCTGTTCAAAAGACCGGTTGGAAGGGTTGGGAACCGGGCGATAGGCAAACCTATCTATTCAAATTGAGGAGAGAGAACAAAAAAAAATTGTAGATAAAATTTCTGAGTTTAGATGGTGATATTAAAAATACAGATTTGAAGTAGTCTTTAAAAGGAACTGGAAACCCGGTCCTAAATAGGAGATAAACCTCTACTCCTGTTTAAAAAAACCGGGGAGATTTTATAGTTTATCAATCAATCAATCAATCAATTAATTTTAGATTTAGTTTTGTTTAATATTCAGGAAGAGAATCCGAGCAGTACAGGGTGTGTACATAATATATATATATATATATATATATATATATATATATATATATATATATATATATATAGAGAGAGAGAGAGAGAGAGAGATGGGGTGTCCATAAAGTCTGAGCCCATAGCAAATGTCATTAAGTATATTTTCTTTTACCTCCACAGATAAAACATAGTTTTGTCGAAACAAGAAAGAATTGGCTTCTTTTTCTGAGGTATGTTAAAGGAGAAAAATGAAAATCACAGGTGCAACACACTTGGTTGAACGCATGGAGAGTGTAAAATTGACGGCAATGTGGTGTTATTTTATCGAGTTCACGTGAATCTTGCAAAGCGCATCAACCTTTACATCACTAATGACGGAAATCTTACTGAAAATATTATTTGTTAATATTCCAATTCATGGCCTAGTTCTCCTGCTATTCATCTCGAGGTTCTTGACAAAATACAAAGAAGAATCTGCAATGTAATCAATCCTGACTTGGCATCTCGACTTCATTCACTTTCTCACCTACGAGACGTGGCTTCCCTCTGTCTTTTCTACAAATATTTTCATGGCAACTGCTCTGATGGGATTACCCCCCCCCCGGTTGAACGACTGCATAAATTGAAGTGTGCAACTAGATTGGCATCTAGGTCTCACCAATTTACTGTTGAAACAGCTAAACGCAACTGCCACTTCTACTCCAACAGTTTCTTTTCTCGCACTTTTCACCTGTGGAACTTCCTTCCTTTTACTTGCTTCCCTGATAACTACAATCTTCAAAAATTGAAATGCCAACGTCAATCGCCATCTTCTGTTGTCTTCGTCCATCTTTTGTCCTTTCCTTAATCTTCCCTATCTTTTTTCCCACTTTCATTCTGTATACTAGTGGCACTCCCGGCTTGCTTGGGGCGAAATGATGAAAAAAAAAATTCAATAAAATATTGTTGAAAATTTAATTTCTTGAAAATATAGATTTTTGTCTGTGTTCAAACTTTAGGGACACCCTATAGAATATTTTTATATTTTATAATTATAATGTATCGGCAAAATTAGTTAACGATACATTTTAAAATTGTACAGATAAACGGTAATGACAATATGTCACTTCAGGATTTCAGATAACTAAAGGCAGTCTGAGTGTGTGTTCTGATCGGAAATGCTGTTATCGACTCAGTGAAGTTGAGACTACTAGCCCAAGTAACGTAATAATATACTAGTGTAAATAGGACGGCGTTTAGCCTAGTTTGAAATGACCACGTCATCATTTGCCCAGTCCTCGACCGCTGAGCTTTCTCTGTACGTAAACTAGAATAATGAACAATTTACAGCCAACCAGACTTCGGATTAGCCTTCGCGGAATCTTAAAAATCCGCCGTACCTGATTCGATCTCCTCTGACCAACGAACGTCTCCGAGTCTATAGACAAGTTCTTGACAGTCTCGGCGGCTATTTTTCTCGCAGGTTCCTGGAGAGGCCTGCACCGTCGACCCCCGCTTCTTCAGTTGCCATCTCTTTGTCTAATAGACAAGGCCGTTGAGGCGTGAATTAACAAGCTCCCAATTTATCGCCTGTAGGACCAGCCGGCCACCAGTTCGACAGCCACGGTTATCCTAATTAACCGAGTGATACTCTTTCCGACTGGCCGGCAATATTCAAGGCTCAGCGAACCGGCCTTCCACGCAAGTAACTTGCCAGTCGCCATTGCCTCGTTGCTCGACGACTTCTTTGTGTCTCTACCGCGACAGTATCGACGCCAGCCATCTTCTTCTTCTTCTTCTTCTTCTTCTTCTTCTTCTTCTTCTTCTTCTTGATTTCCTTATTTGCCTTTTATTAATTATCTTCTCATCGATTTCTTTCTCCGACTTTCGTTGATCCCCTTCTTCTTCTTCTAAAATTTATTTTTCCTTTTCTTCTTTTAATTTTTTCCCACTCTACCGCCAGTTTCATCTTGTTGATTCATACCTTTTTCGTCATCACATGATAAATAATTTCTTCTTTTTCTTCTTCTTCCTCTTCTTCTTCTCGATTTCTTTCTTTCTTTCTTTCTTTCTTTCTTTCTTTCACAATTTCTTTTTCCTTTTCTTCTTTTAATTTTTCCCACTCTACCGCCAGTTTCATCTTGTTGATTCATACCTTTTTCGTCATCACATGATAAATAATTTCTTCTTTTTCTTCTTCTTCTTCCTCTTCTTCTTCTTCTTCTTCTTTCTTTCTTTCTTTCTTTTTTTTTTCTTTCTTTCTTTTTTTTCTTTCACAATTTCTTTTCCTTTTCTTCTTTTAATTTTTTCCCACTCTACCGCCAGTTTCATCTTGTTGATTCATACCTTTTTCGTCATCACATGATAAATAATTTCTTCTTCTTCTTCTTGATTTCTTTCTTTCTTTCTTTTTCCACAATTTCTTTTTCCTTTTCTTCTTTTAATTTTTTTCCCACTCTGCTTTCACTTTCTTCTTGTTGATTCATTCCTTTTCCTTCATCACGCGATGAATAATTGCTTCTTTTTCTTCTTCTTGTATCACAATATTTTTTCCTTCCTTTGCTCTTTTTCTTTCTCTTCTCATTTTTCTCCGTTGTACCTTCACCTTTTCTCTTGTTGATTGATTTACTTTTTCTTCTTCGCTCTCCTAATAATTTCTTCTTCTTCTTCTTCTTCTTCTTCTTCTTCTTCTTCTTCTTCTTCTTCTTCTTCAAGCCCCCTCTTTCTCCAAATTTGTCTTTCTCGTTTGCCTTCCTCCTTACTTTATCTTTTCCTTTATTTATCTTTCCCTTTATCCTTTTTATTGCTCTTTCATTCTCTCTCGCTCTTAGTTTTCGCTTTTTCATGACTATTTTGTTTCTTTGCTGTCATTTTCTTCTTAGCTTTACAAATTCTCTTTCTTCTTCTTCTCTCTCTCTTACTTCTTTTTCCTCTCTTTCTACTTCTCTTTTTTTGTTCTTTTTCTATTTTAATACTGCCACTATTCTTTCTTTTTTCTTTTCATTTTCTTCGCTTTCTTCTTTTTTTCTGCTTCTTCATTTTCTCCTCTTAACTTTCTCTTTATAACGTTCTTCTTTTTTTTTGTTTTATTTGTTTTTCTTCTCTGTCTACTCTTTCTACTCTTCTTCTTCTTCTTCTTCTTCTTCTTCTTCTTCTCTATGCCTTCTTTGAGTCTGTTTTTCCCTCCCCTCCATTTCTATTTCTTACACCTAACCTTCTCGGTTATAACGCAGGTCGACCCTCCATTTATCATTGACAAGTTAGGGACAAAAGAGAGGAATTAGGGCTCGAAATATTGTCTGACGCTAATTCTTTAAATAGAAAGATTTGTCTTGAAAATTGGCATTCAAATCTCTGATCTTTGACCTGTTCTCGAACACCAACCTTTGATAAATACGAAACTATCTCAGCCAGGAGGTAGTCTCCCGTTTTCTTTCTTCTTTTTAAAATTTTTTTTTATCTCTTTTCCAGTCATAGTCTTTGTGCTTCTTTCTTCATCTTCCTCCTACTCTCTTTTTCTTTTCTATCATATTTCCCATCTTATAATACCTCCTCAATGAATAACACGCACCTATACTTTGGCAAGGTGGGTTTAAAGGGGTGGGGGTTCTCCCCCCAAAACTAATAACGTTCAGCAGGTGATTTATACATGAATATTGTTACCATATCTGATTTGGTTATTTTGCTATATATCTAGCGATTCTGGAACAATTTAAAAAAAATCTGTAATGTTATTTGTCTTGACCTGGCATCTCGACTTTAATCACTTTCCCACCTGCGTATCGTAGCTTCCCTATTGTGAAAATATTTTCATGTCAATTGTTCTGATGTGACTTTCTTCTTTCGTTACTCGCTTCCATGAATTTAGGCATTCTACTAGATTGGTGGCTAGGTCTCACTGGTTGATTTTGTTTAGCGGCATATCAACCACTATGGGTTATTTAATGTCGAAATCAAAATATTTAAACAATTTTATGACTTCAACTAATATATTTTGAATGCAATTATATGCCTTCAACTACAGATAAAATGTATTGTTGGTAATTTTACTATAAAATTTCATTGCTGGTAATTTTACTATAAATATGCATTTTTGATTGGTCGGTTAATTAGTTGCTTGATTTGGTTTTAGCGTCATGTCAATCTCTATGGGTTATTTAATCCCGATATCTAAATATTTTGAACATAATTTTTATGGCTTGAACTAAATATATTTGAATGTAATTGTATGCCTTCAACTACAGATCAAATGTTTTGTTGGTCATTTTGCTGTACAATGCATTGTTGGTAATTCAACTATGAAATTGTATTGCTGGTCATTTAATATAAATAGGTATTATTAGTAATTTTTTTTAATATAAAAATGTATTGCTGCTAATTTTACTATAAAAATGTATTTTATACTTTGTGTTTGTTTGGGGTACACTATTTGCCCATAGCTGGGACTCTAACTGGTGCTACCACCTCAGGCCAGGGTAAAACTGGGAACAATAGCAAGTAAGAGGGGGTTCCAAGCTCAAAACCTACTTGGTCTCATTCTTTTGTTGTTGAAATTCCTAAAATGTAACCGTGAGTTCTATTCTTCTCTCTCTCTCTCTCTCTCTCTATATATATATATATATCTATATCTATATATATATATATATATATATATATATATATATATATACACACACGTTTCATTAAATAATATAGACAAGTGTTGTCTGTTTATTTTATGTAAAATTTTTTCGTATCTTCTGATAAGTTTGATAACATTATCATTAAACGAAGAAAGAAATTCACAATATTTATCCATTATTTTTAATATAATATATATAAAGACATTTTTTATGTTTATACATTCTTTTTTAGATACAAATATTTAAGTAAATGCTCTGTTTATAATAAACAACATTTACCGGCCTGAATGTTCGAGAAATCTTCACAGAAAATATTCGTCCTCCGACAGGATTCGAACCTGTATCCTATACGGAACCGTCATTTAGCTTGACGTGCCTTTACCGATTTGGCCACAGAGGAGCGTTCGGTTAGCAAAGTCGAATTTACTGTATTTAAACTTCAATCTTCTATGAATCTCTCACGTACATTCATATCTGCTCATGGCGTATCAAATGTAAACAAATGACGTCACACATTATGAAATGGACAAAGTCCGACAATTATTTTAAGACATTTTTTATGTATATACATTCTTTTTATAGATACAAATATTTAAGTAAATGCTCTATTTATAATAAATAGTATTAAACAACATTTACCGGCCTGAATGTCCGAGAAATCTTCACAGAAAATATTCGTCCTCCGACAGGATTCGCTCCTGTTTCCTATACGGAACCATCAGTTAGCTTGACGTATATATATATATATATATATATATATATATATATATATATATATATATATATATATATATATATATATATATATCAGTTATGAAGAACTTGGTAATCCGTATGGGTAATCCCATGGAGGATAAAATCCTAAAAACTCAATGTAAATCCAAAGCTAATATTTAAAAGGAAAACAGACTACTGCAAGGTACCACTATAATAATTTATTGCACCATAGCCCTTTTAAAGGACGCCGGATCATCAGATAGCACTTCAAAAAATGAAATGAAACGAAAAAGGAAATTAAAATTGATGGGTAGTGTAAGTTTTTGTAATTTAACAGAGAGTGTAAAAAGGGTAGTTAAAGAGACATATATATATATATATATATATATATATATATATACCATGTCTCTTTATATATATTAGTTTATTATTATAATATTTTATATATATATATATATATATATGTATATATATATATACCATGTCTCTTTATATATATTAGTTTATTATTATAATATATATATATATATATATTATAATAATAATCTATATATATATATAATATATAATATATATATATATATATATTATAATAATAAACTAATATATATATATATATATATATATATATATATATATATATATATATATATATATATATTATTTTCATACCCCTTCATGACATACGCGATGATGACTTTTCATAGATCCCTTTTCTTTATTATCTGTGAATTAACATGTATTCATGGTAAAGATAGTACGGTTTGGAATTCGGAGTTTTCATTTAAAGTGGTTACCTCGCAAATTTAGGGAGATCAGTCTACGTTCATATAAACCGATGGCTGACAAATAGACCATGCTGAGATTCGAACCCGGGTCTCGTGGTCAGAAAGCGAACGTTGTGACCAGTTAAGTTTAGAGTCCTAAAAATGCAGAACTAACGTATTAACGTCATTGCTACATGAGTTTGATATCCGCCCATCACTATACCAATGTTTATCTCCCGCCAATTCAACACGCTAACCAATGCAAGACAACCAGGTACTCGGCAACGCATCCTCGATGACGTCATCGACATTACACCATCCACTTTCATGACCCTTCTCTACTTACTCATCCCAAATCTATTATTATTATTATTATTATTATAGTTATTATTACTGCTGCTATTAATACTATGACTGCTTGCCTCTTTTGGAATGACTTTGAAATGTTGAGATGTGTGTGTCGATTGGAATGATTTCGCCAGGCAAATATTGGAGTGGCGAAAGAAGCGGTTAGCAAAGATACAAACAATTAAGACACACTTGATTTCTGGAGATGTCTTTTCAAATCGAATGGACAAACTGCGCTATAATTGAAGAGTCTGTAAATACAGTCATCAAAATAATAATTTAACTTTCTTCTGCCTCCAGTCTCTGATTTGCTATATCAGAAATCTCACCATATCTATCTCTCTCTATCTCGTGCTTTCTTTCGTTCTTAGTCTATTCATATCTATCTATCTATCTATCTATCTATCTATCTATCTATCTATCTATCTATGTTCTCTGTCTAACTATCTATGATTATGCTCTTTATTTATCTATCAATCTATCAATCTATTTATCTATCTCTGTTTTTTTTATCTATCTAAGTATGTTCGTAATCTATCTATCTATCTATCTATCTATCTATCTATCTATCTATCTATCTCATAATGTTCGTAATCTATCTATCTTTCCTTCTATCTATCTTTCTTTCTATCTATCTCAGTATGTTCGTAATCTATCTATCTATCTATCTATCTATCTATCTATCTATCTATCTATCTATCTATCTATCTCAGTCTGTTCACTTCTATCAATCTATCCCACACTGTTCGATTTTATCTATCTATCTATCTATCTATCTATCTATCTATCTATCTATCTATCTATCTATCCCACACTGTTCGATTTTATCTATCTATCTATCTATCTATCTATCTATCTATCTATCTATCTATCTTTTTGTCCGGAATAAGAGTGGTAGTGGACAAGTAATC